TACATACATATATACATACATACATATACATACATATACTTACATATACATACATATGCATACATATACATATACACACATACATCCATCCATCCATCCATACATACATACATACATGCATACACACAGACATACATGCGTACACACATACTTACATGCAGACATAGGTATGTGTGTATGTATCTACATATCTACCTACCGCTACCTACATACCTACCTACCTACCTATCTATCTATCTACCTATCTATCTATCTATCTATCTATCTATCTATCTATCTTCTGCTTCTGGAACGATGGACAGGACTCTCTCGTTCTCGACTCACATAATTACATGGCATCTGGGGGGACAGTCCAAGCTCTTGAAACAATGGAACAGCATCCGCTTTCGGCACGACTCCGTACACCTGGAGGCTTGCCATGGCCGCAAAGATCCTGCCTAGCTATGCGGCTATGCGCGGGCGGCGCCTCGCGCCGAGCTACACGACAGCATCCACCATGGACGACGTGGTTTTAAACCCTAAACCCTAAACCCTAAAGTCTGTGGGAGCCGCCATAGGCTTTGTGAAGTGTTCAGGGCGCAGCCTCCAAAGCTTTGCAGCTGCTTCGGAGCTTGCATTCGGTGTGAAGGAGAGCGTTTATAGGTTTAAGGGTTTAGGGTTTGGGGTTTAGGGTTTAGGGTTTGGGGTTTAGGGTTCAGGGCTTCAAGGCTTTCCGGTCCTTCAGGGCCCATGCAAATGTAGTATTGGCAAATTTGGCCCTGAATGCTAGATTAGAACAGGGTTCAGGATTTGGTTTAGGGTTTAGCGTCTAAGGTACGACAGTGCTGATGTGACAAGGAACACTGATGAGACACATAGATAATCATTCAGGATTCTATAGTGTTTGCTGAAGCTCCTACATAGCCTAGGATCCCTAGTAACCCAGGAATCAAAAGGGCTGCCTTTCTGGTATAAGGTGGTTTTATAAGAAACCTATAAGAACACAAAAAAAGGGGAAAAAGGGGCCGCTGAGGGACCTAATGGTAGGCTATGATGGGCTTTGATACAATAACCCTAAACCCTAAACCCTAAACCCTAAACCCTAAACCCTTAACCCCTAAACCCTAAACCCTAAACCGTGGTAGGCTATGATTGGCTTTGATGCAATAACTCGGCTCCCCAGTCTGTAAAGGCACCCCTTTACCCCCGACTCAACGTTTATAAAGAGATCCGAAAAATCTGCTTCGTAAAACGGTATTAGGGTTTAGGGTTTAGGGGATTTAGGGGAGATCCGAAAACTCTGCTTCCTAAAAAGGTATTAGGCATCAGAGTTTAGGGGTTTAGAAGATATCCGAAAACTCTGCTTCTTACAGACGTATTAGGGTTTAGGGCTTAGGGGTTAAGGGGTCTAGGGGTTAGGGGGCCAGGGGTTAGGGGTCTAGGGGTTAGGGGTTTAGGGGTTTAGGGTTTAGGGGTTTAGGTCGTCTCGGCGACCTGGGCGTTCCAGGCACTTCGGGAATCTTGCCCGGCTCTATGTCCTAGCAAAAACCCGAAACCCTGAATTGTAAACCCTGGCTTTGGGTTTAGGGTTTAGGGTTTAGAGATTAGGGATTAGGGTTTAGGGACCCCCGAGTGAAGTAAGGTTTCAGGTTGCCAGTAAGCGTTTAATGAGACCACGAAAACCCTACAAGCCATACCGGAGATCCTGCACACAATATCCTAGGTACAACGTTAAACCCTAACTAAACCCTAAACTAAACCCTGAAAACCCTAAACCCTAAACTCTAAACCCCAACTGAATCCCAAGCCCTTAAACCCTAAACCCTAACAAAGGATCCGAGGGTCGGGCTGTTTGGCTGCATCCTGCCTGGATGTTGCCACACGTAAACCTGCAGCTAAACATAGCAAGCGGGTTCCCTAACAGGGACGATTTTACAAATGTTTCACAAGTGCTGTTATGCCAGGGCTTGTTGGACTGGGGCCTTGCTGGAAAACGTGGCAGGCGCGACATACTCAGCACTTTCCAACAGTTACCTCAGGAACATTCTGTTATTTCTGTCTTAGGTTCTCAACACTGAAACGACGCAGGAACAGGTAACCCGTTTCTGCACTATTTTGCTGCCCCGTTTGAGATTTCTTTGTTAGGTGGTGTGGGGGGGGTGGGGGGGTGGGGCGGGGGGATGATGACGTTTTTACATGTTGGGCCCTCCTTTTCAGCGACCGCCCCTGGCCAAGCGGTTCTCCAGTGAGAAGTACTATTCTCGGTACTGTACCACCTCGTCCACAGCTCAGACACCGTCTCCGAGCTGACGAACTCAAAATGCCAGCACGCCGGCTGGCCATGTGCTCTGTTCCAAAACTTGGAGCACACACACGCACACACCTACCGCAACTTGCACGCACAGAACAGAGTATAACATAACTTCACATAACATTTACATCACACCATATCAATAACATTTACATCGCACAATATCACATCACATGACATAGTATCACATCGCATCAAACAGCATCAAACAGCAATGCATAGCATGGCTCAGAATAGCATCGCGGATCATAACATGCACTACCAAGGCAGACATAACCTCACCTGTCATAACACAATATAACAACATAGCACAACATAGTACAAACATGAATCACTCCAGGGTAAATCTCAAAAACCTCAACATAACCTTCCTGAAACCTTTCTTTTGCCCTGAACCAAAAACTCGAAACACCGAAAAACAACGAGTCGAAACCACCCCTGTTCGTGAACCTGCTGGGTAAACTTAGGGCTTTAGGGATGTTTAGGGTTTAGGGTTCAGGGTTTACGGTTTAGGGTTTAACTCAACTCATGAACCAGTGTTGGGGTCCTTTAAATTGGTTCCTTTTATGGGATGCTTTAAGGGTTTAGCTAGGGATTCGAATACCCCTCATGAAGGAATATACCTTAAAATATAGGGGGCCGGATTTCAGGATTTATTCTGTTGGGTTTAGGGTTTAGGGTTTAGGATTGGTCTGGGGGTTTAGGGTTTAGGGTTTGTGGGTTTATGGGTTTATGAGTTTTAGGGGTGTAGGGGTTTAGGGTCTAGGGGTTTAAGGGTTTTTGGGCTTATGGGCTTTAGGGGTTTTGGGGTTTAGGTTTTAGGGTTCCGTTGGAGCGTGTCGTTTTCTTGACTGACGACCCCAAGCCCACTAAACCTTAAATGCTCGGGGTGTGGGGTTTTTGGGGGGTAGCGGAGTTTGTCACGCGGTTTACTTGCAAGGATGGAAACCCTGCATTTCGACCTTGGAAGCTTCTATATATAGTAAAAAGAGTTTAGGGTTTAGGGCTTACTCCTGTCCGTAAAGTCGAAGTGCACCCTAACAAGGGTTTAAGGTTGATATACCATGTACGGATTCATAGCACAAGGGTATAGGGCCCCTATTTCCAAGGGTCCTTTGGTCGTTAAGGATATGGTCTCCATTTTATGGAACCCTACACCCTGAACCCTAAAACCCTAAACCTTAAACCCTAAGGCCCCTAAACCCTAAACCCTAAGGCCCCTAATCCTAAACCCTAAACCCTAAGGCCCGTAAACCCTTAACCCTATGGCCCCTAAACCCTAAACCCTAACGCCCCCAAGCCCTAAACCCTCAGGCCCCTATTGCAGAAAGCTCGGGCGCGAGCACAGCATCCGAGATGATTGCGGCGGTTTTCGCCATATATCTCCTCGGTAGACCGGTTCTGTGTTTTAAGGGTTCCTGTAGAGGGATCTATGGGGTCCTATAAGGGTTCCTTTAAAGGGACCCATAGGGTACTACAAGGGTTCCTACGGTTTAGGGTTGGGGATTTCAGGGTTTAGGGGACGTAAGCATTAGAATAGGGTTTTGGGGCGGGTTTCTTTATTGTAACAATTATTCTATAATATACCCCAAAACCTTATCCTAATTATTAAGGCCCCTTTTTTAGACCGGTTCTGGGTTTCAAGGGTTCCTTTAGGGTTTAGGGATTGGGATCTCAGGGTTTAGGGGTTTGGGTTTGGTAAGGTTCAGGGGTTTAGGGGTTTTAAGGGTTTTAGGGGTTTTAGGGGTTTTAGGGGTTTTAGGGGTTTGGGGGTTTAGGTTTCAGGGGTTTAGGGGTTCGGGTTCCAGGGCCCAGGGTTTCAGGGTTCCTTGAAGGCACGGGTTCGGGTTCAGAGCGGTTTAGGGTTTAGGGTTTAGGGTTTAGAGTTTAGGGTTTAGGGTTCAGAGCTTAGACTGAGCTTAATTAGCGATTAGGGTTGGCAGGCTTAGCTCGGGCTTTAGGACTTATGTTTTTTAGGGTTCCGGGCTTAGGGCTTAGGACTTTCGGTGTTGATGTCGCGGGTTTCGCTGTAGGGTTTTGGGTTTATAGAGCTTAGTTTAAGGATTTCAGGTTCAAGGTCTTAGGGTTTTAAGAATTTAGGCTTCGGAATGGTGGCCTTCATAAATTGGGTAAAGGTTCGCAGGGCCTACATGCCCTAAACCCTCAAACCTA